GTAATATCAGGTGACGACGAAGCCGCACTTACCCACAAGAGGTAGAACACCAACACTCCCCTAATCTCGTCATGATTGAAAAGCATCGACAGATTGTGTTCTTAACTCGAACCAACACGGTACAAAATACCAAACAATTCATAATGGATCAACAACTAAAGTTCAGCTAAAAATATAGCATTCAATTTCTCAACTTCTTTGGATAAATCATGTTTACCTAATAACTTATTTCTAAATTCAATAAACTCAAACTTACCTAACGGTTTTGTAAACATATCAGCAATATTAGCTTTTGTACTAACCCAGCATAATTTAATAACACCAGATTGGACCAAATCTCTCAAATATTTGAAAGCAATATCAATATTTCTACTTGTATGACTAACATTTATGTTTTTACAGTATTGAATAACTGCAGTATTATCTTCTCTAACAAATACATCTTTAACTTTCAAATTCATCTCTTCCATAATTGTCTTCAATTTCAAACATTCATGCACAGCAGATCTAAGAGCAATAATTTCACTAGCAGCAGTACTATTTGCAATGGTTTTCTGTCTCTTAGTTGACCAATTAACTAAATAATGATTCAAATAAATAACATTTCCAGATATGGACTTTCTATCACTATGTGGAGCAAAACTTGCATCTGTAAATGCATTAATAGTAAAATTGTCTGCAACAGATTTCTCTCTTCTCTTGTATTCAATCTTAACATCTAATGTACCCATAATATATCTAACACAATACATTAACTTTGCAAAATCATTCACGGTAGGATTAGCAGCTCTCTTACCTAAGTAATTAACAGCATAACTAATATCAGGCCTAGTATTATTTGCAGCCCATAACAACAGACCAACAATTGATTGGTAATCAGTCTTAGCATCATGCTCTAATAATTCACCTTCTTCTTCATCAGTAACAAATTCATGAGTTCTAAATACTTTCTCAGGTTTATCCTTAACCATGGGGATTTGTTTCTCAATATATTTAAACTTTGGATGATTAGCATAAGTTTCTTTCATCTTCAAATTGTCAATTAACTTCTCAAGGAATTCTCTTTGATTAATGGAATAACCATCTTTGGTCTTTTCATACTTTATACCTAAATATTCAGATATCTCCCCTAAATCTTTAAAATCAACATGACTATCTAACTCAGTCTTGAATTGTGAAAACAATTCTTCTCTTGAACAAACAATAAATACATCATCAACATATATTGCAGCAATAATCACAGTATCTTTAGTTCTCTTAATAAATAATGTATCAACCACATTCTTAAAACCCATTGCAGTAAATATCTTAGTAAATTTAATATACCATTCATAACCTGCTTGTTTAAGACCATAAACAGACTTATTTAGTTTCCAACATTTATTTGGGTTATCATTAAAACCTGGAGGAGGCTTAACATATATTTCATTAGATAATTCAGCATTAAGATAAGCAGACTTCACATCTAAATGATGTATAGTATAATCAAATTCAGTTGCTAAAGCAGTTAACAATCTTATAGTAGATAAATCAGTAACAGGTGATGATATTTTACAAATGTCATAATCAATTCCTTCACTTTGTCTAAAACCTTGTACAACACATCTGGCTTTATAAACATGGTCTTTCATATCATTCTTCTTGTAGGTAAAAACCCATCTAGTAGGAATAATCCTCTTATCTCTTGGAGTATCAACAACTTTATAAACATCCATTTCTTTGAATTTTTCAATTTCTTTCAATTTTGCTGCTTTCCAATTTTCATCATTTGGATCAATATCATTCATTACAGCAAATATATTCTCTTCTTCATCAAGTGAATCTGGATCATCAAATATCATTAAATTCAAATATTGGTAAACCTTAGGTTTATAAATCCTTCCAAATTTGGATCTTCTAATTATTGGAACATCACGTTCAACATCATCAATAGTTCTCTTTCCATTCACACGTTCATTTATTCTGAATCCATTCTTATCAAGATTTAATTGTTTATGTACCTTATCTAAAGTAGGTGAAAATTCAATTGGTTTCAATTTATTCTTCTTCTTTCTATGTTTCTTTGGTTCATTTCTTCTGCCAACAAGGGCATTTGTATTTGATTTATTATTGTTAGTAATACGTACCATTTCATTATTTGGTGTACAAGCACCTTCTTCAATATTATTATTATTATCTGGTGAACAAGCACCTCTGACGAACACGGCAGAATTATTATTATTATTATTTGGTGAACAAGCACCTTGGTCAACCAGGACCATTTCATTCATTGGTGTACAAGCACCTGGGTCATCAAGGACCTCTCTATTCTCTGGTGAACAAGCACCTGGGTCATCAAGGACCTCTCTATTCTCTGGTGAACAAGCACCTGGGTCATCAAGGACCTCTCTATTCTCATTATTCTTTGGTGAACAAGCACCAGGGTCTACAAGGACCTCTCTCTTATCTCTATTCTTTGGTGAACAAGCACCACGGTCAACAAGGACCTCTTCTCTCATTGAATTCACTATTCAATTCTTCATTCATATTCTGATTCACATTTGGGAGGTTCACATTATCTCCCCTAACCTCACTAATGGGATCAACTCCCCTGGGATCAACTCCCCTTTCACTAGAACTCATTTCTGTTTCTTCTGCTTCAACTTCTGCAATAGTTTCTTCATCATGAATAATTTCAAATTCTTCCCAATTTGGATAAGTATGTGGCACATTATGAACTGACTTAAATTTCACATAATCTTCTCTTTCAGATGCCTTCTTCAAAAATTTATTCAATACTTCAGTATCTAATTTAATTGGTTCAAATTTTTCATTTGCTTTATTCTTAAAATATTGGTCAATGACTTTAAAAGTAGGTAAGAATGTTACATTCGGGGTGACAATCACCGGATATCCTTCAGTAGAAATCATAATCATAAAACTAGTTGTATCAGTAGAATATCCTAAAAATGTTCCAAATACTACTGGTGGAGTAAGTTTATCTAAATCAACACCTAATCTCTTTGCTTCAACTTTGGAAGAACATTTCACAACAACATCAACACCAAATTGATGAAAATTAAAAACAAAATCATGATATCCAGTAAATACCTGGTATGGGGTTAAACCCTTGAACTTTTTCCTTGGAGTATGATTAATTGTAGTAATAACATAAAGAACCATATAATAAAATAATGTTAAAGCTAATTCATGTTGTTCTGGAAAATTCAAAATACATTTTCTAAGTCCTTTAAAAATAATTCTATTTGTAACTTCAGCAGTACCATTTAACTCCGGAGAATAAGCTCCAATTATATCTCTTCTAATTCCAATCTTATGTAAATCTGACATTGAAGGCATTTCAGCAGCATTATCTGACCTGAAATAAGTAATATGATTTGTTGGAGAATAATTATTCCATAATTCTAATAATGATACAATAGTTTCTTTAATTGCTTTACTTTGACTAATAATAACTTCAATATATTGACTGTAATCATCTGTTAAAGCAGTAACATAATGTTTAATATCTCCAATTTCAATAGGACCAACAGTATCACAATGAACTCTTTCTAATGGTCTTTTAGTTTCACGTTGTGTTGTTTGATTATGTGGCCTTTGGACTGCATTAGTAGCTAAACATACCGGACATAACTTAATCTTCTCAACTTCCTCAGGTGTAATCTTAACGTCAATTTCTTTGTTCTTGATTTTCTCTTTTAATGCATATAATGTCGCGTGATTACCTGCGAGATGCTGACCATACAAGGTCTTTTCACTACTTGCTACACATTTCGGAATATTATGTATATTTAAATGGTAGAGGAATCCTATCTTAAGTATGTTTCTAGGTACTTTAAGTTTGCCTTTAATCGGTCCAACATAGATATTTTTACCACCAAGGTTTTCAGCAACAACCATACAACGTTTCTCATTCATGTTCAATAAATACAAATGGCTTCTAGAAATATAAGCATCATATCCTAATTCAGACAATTGTCCTAATGACACAATGTTCAACGCAGCATGCGGTATAAGTGACACATCATTTATTTCAATTAATTCATCATTCACTTCTAATGTCAATGTACCAGTTCCTTCAGATTCTACAATACTTTGATCAGCAAGTTTAAACTTCTTGATATTTAATGCATTAAAATTCTTCAATAATTCTCTTCTTGTTACAACAGAAGTACTAGCTCCTGAATCATACATCGCTTCATCTGGCAGAATCATCACTTCATCACTTTTGTTCTCAATATCTTCATCGAAATAATTAATGGCTTCACTGGCTGTACTTTCAGCATTCACCAGCTTGCCTAATTCTTATTTGTTGGCATTAATTAATTCTGGAATTTTACCAATAGCATCTGACATTTCATTCATTTTCTTAGAAAGTTCTTGAAAAACATTTCCACGACCTTCATAATTTCCATAACTTCTGCCGCCACGATGATATCTACTTCTTCCTCTAAATCCACCACGAGACCTTCTAAAACCACCACGGCCACGGCCTCTAAAACTTCCACGACTTGGATAACTTGATCTTCTATCAGATTCATTTGTATCATTTGATTTCTCAGTATTTTCACTTTCATTGTTATTATCCAGTTTCTCTTGACCATCACGATTGTTATATTCATTATAGTGATCAAATCTTCTCTTATGATGATAGCCATTTCTGTTTCCATATCCAATAGCTGGAGCAATAATTTCAGTTGATTTCTTTCCAAATGATTCATTAAACATTTTAGCATATTTGTTCAAATAAACAACACCTCTTCTACGTCCGTCTTCATTTGATTTACCTAATACAACAAAACCAGGACGAGAACTCATCTTCGTGTAAATTTCATTATCAGTTGGAGCCTTAAATTTCTCTTTATCTCTTCCAACTTCAGTCCACTTTAAATAATACTCAGCTAAAATTTCAGAACATAATGGACCCTGATCAGATTGACAACAGTTACTATAAAACTTTACCATTGGACCACCAACAATATTTCCATCTAATAATAATAAGAACTTCACATAATCATTTGTGGCACCAAGTCTCAAGAAATTTCCTTCATTACGCTTTTTCTTGGTAAAATTTTGATCTTCAGAAATACTCCAAGCAGCAGCAAATGCTAATCTAAGTGAATGAGGTAAGTTTTCATCACGATATGAAGCAACATGTTTCCAGATTAAATGTAAGTTCAATTGATTCCCTTCTGGTACTGGAATTTGACCAATATCTAACTTAGTATTCAAAATTTGGCCAGAAATAATATTGCAAAATTCTTCAACAAAATAAGCTACTTTCATTGGGGAACTAAACTTGAATCTATTAATAGAGTGAATTCTAGCATCATATGATTCTGGATCAGTTACAACTCTTTCAAGACCTTTATACATTTCAAATAATCTTTGGAAAAAATTTAACCAATTTGCATAACTATTTGGATCTGTTTCATTCAATGGGTTCAAATTCTTAACTAATGATTCAACATTATTCTTGTATCTTGTATTTGCTGTTTCTTCACATGTTTTAATGAAAGTATCAATATCAGCAATATAGTCTTCAAATGGAAAATCAACGAATAATTCTGGTTTAACATCTAATTCTGGAGCATTGGCATTTTCATTTCTAGGTCTAATAGAACCTCCTTCTGGAACAGCACTAGTAGTAGTAGCATTCTCATTTTCATTAGTTTCAGTATTGTCAGGATTGACATTGTTATTTTCAGTAGTAATGTTTTGATTTTGGTTTTGATTGTTTTGATTGTTTTGAATTCTTTGACCTCTACGACGAGCTGGTTCAACATACTCTTGGAATACAAATCCTTCAGGATTATGGGATCTAGTTCTAGCTTGATTTGACATGATTGTTTTAACTTCTTAATTTAATTTGATTGATTGATTGACTTAATAATTGATTGATTAGGAACTAACGCAGTAAAAAACTTTGACTTCTAATCTGATGGAATAGGAGCCTGCGTAGTGTAATGGTTGTTAATAATCAATAAATGGAAT